GCAAATCTATTCAGTTTGAGCGTGTTTCCCAGGCTGCTTCTGCATGCTGTGGCACAACTGTCCTGCAGCATATCCAGAATGGATCGGTTAAGCGAGTGGGGAGGCTCAGTGTAACAGGCCTCCCGGAACATATTGGGTTTCTCTACTCCATTAAGGGTTTCCCATCCTGCAGAATGATCAACTTGAGCCACTTGTATGCACGATGTCGATAGTTCGGGCGATCAGCGGTGGTACCAGCTCCAGCAAAAGCAAATGGGATGAGAGGTCAGATTCCAGAGTGGGCGCGTAAACTTTGCGACATGACCTTTGATTGGCTTTGCTGTTGGATCTGCAACGCGACCCTGGCCAAAACTCAAGAGCTCCCGGGAACGATCGCCGCTGATTTTCACAATGAGATTCGCAGACTCGAAATTTAGCGCGATATCCGATGCTGATGGAAGGGCTTAGAGATGACAGATCTTCCGGTTCATGTCTTTCCCAAAAATAAATAGAGAATGAGAAGAAAAAATTTAGGCTTCATACCTGTCTGCTATTACATCTCATCAGCTCTCTATCGACTGGCGATTTTAATCTCGCATCCGCATCTGGTCTGGAATCCAACTATTGATTATTCTAATTATATGCGTCAGTGCCAGTGGTGAAAGCGAATAGTAGTTGGTTATTCAGTGGGGCATCAATCACACGTTCGATCGGGGCATTTCGCGGACAAGGCTACAGCTGGGCATACTACATAGCAAAATATAATCAGTACGCACTAGTATTTAGGTTCGAAATACGATGAATTTGGCCTTATCCGAGTCCTGGAACCCCCAATGGTCGGATTACAGGCAGGTTATTTAATTGGTAACTCACACACTGGAGTACGAATAGTTCAGCATAGCATCACCTGTCCGAAGACCTTCGCCCAATTTCGGCATCAACCATGGGAAGTTCCAAGTTAAAATTAGCACACACCATGACTGAATAACAGAAATCATCAAATAGGTTTGTCCGAACAAGTTGAGCGACCCTCCTAAAGGGATAGGAAAACTGTACAAGAGCCTAGACTTGATCAAATTAACAGTGCCGCCAAACACCTACTAGACTAGCATTATCAAAATAACATCAAGTAGTATCTCCATAAATCCAATGAATGTATTCCATTGATGTCACTAAAGGGTTTAGCGCGTGTTCTCCGAGTCGAACACGGGGATACAATACTCCCGAGGTCGCTGCGTTTTCTACATGAGCCTTTCCCGGTCGGCGTTCTTCGTTTTTATAGTTTCGGATGGTTTGGTATGTATATACTGAGTAGAGCATATTGCCATGAGAAAAACACCATGGAACCTTGGAATCAGATTCGACCCAGTGGTACACATGAAGGGCTAAGGATTCGCCAGCATCTCGGTCATGTCAGGTTGATCTCTTTCCAGGGCGAATGGTATATTTCTCACCAAGGCACTGGGCAGAAGAGCCGGTAATTTTGTTTTTCGTACTGGTACTGGGTACTATTCACTCCAGGTGCATCCAACGTTTTTTTAAAAAAGTTTCCGAGCATCAATACTATATAACGTTGGGTGAGATGGGTTTTACCTGGATCCATGGATGTATATGGCACACAAATCAGGATTGCAAAGGGTTGAAAAGCTTTCGAAGCTACTGTAGAATAGAGCCTTGGAACTTTCACCAGTAGAAGAGCAATTGACATGTAAAGATCCATGGATGGAGGGGGAAATGAAAGCACTAAATAGCCGAGGCAAGGTGGAAGCATATAATATGCCAGCAATGACCGTCATTTGGATGTTATTTATTCTGCACCGCCAATGACATACATATGGAATCGATCTCGCATTGGATCGAACGTAGAAAATAGTGCCATGTGGTCTACGAACGGACGCCATCGAGAAAGCTTTGACCATATGAATTAAGACGGATAAAGCCTGGGGAATGTTGCTGATGCAGGAAGGGGGTGGCACAGGGACACCAGACAGCGCGTGAAGGTTACGCGAAATTCTACTTAGAACTGAGTCAAAGAGACGCGTCAATTTTCTCACTCACTCTACGTAGAATTCAAGATTTTCCCTGGGAGTGGCCCTGCTCCGAAATTATGATATTGCCTCCGACCCTATGGAAACCCTATTAGACCAGTCACCTCAAGTCCCCCTTGCGGCGGAATTACGACGAGTCCAACACTCACAACCCATCTTGGGCAGCTCCCTTGAGCCACCGGGCCTTGATTTGCTCTCGGTACATATGCAAATGCAAAACACCAATCTGCTCAGGCCTCGAAATATTTCTTTCTCTACTTTTTGCTTTTCGCGACGCGGCTACCAGCAGAGGGCCGCAGGAATGAACGCCCCAACCAACCCACCTATTGCCAATAGTGACAACCCTAGTTTCCCACCTGGTTTGCGCCCCAGGAAAAGGAAGTACACAACATAAATCAAATTGTGGACATTACTACCCTAGAGTACCCCTCCCGGAACTTATCACAGACAGGTCATATCGTCGATCTCGTAGTATTTTCCTCTTTTGCAACCCACACGTGGCTGCCATATGGAAGAGCCCTCGCATCAAGCATTCCTGGGGTGTCGACTTGCATTGTCCCCATAGGCACGGCCACAAATAGGATGGGTCATTTCGCCTCCGCGGGGTGTCTCCTTTTTTGATATTATTCGACCGGCTCTGTCGTCTCCGATACTCCGGTTCAATCAGTCTCTTCTACTCTTCCATGCCCGTATTCCTTCCTTTCGCGAACTCAGTCGCACACCATGGAGCTGGCTGAGCCACAAAGACCCCGGAGCGGGATGAACTCGCTAAACACCAAGGGTGAGATCGATGAGGTTCGTTTAGAGTCTGCCCTCGGTCACAGGCAAGAATTAAACAGGCATTTCGGACTTTGGAGCCTCACTAGTCTCGGGATCGTGATTGCAAAGTAAGATGACTGAACTTTACCCAGAAACCCATGAATCGTGTCTGACATTGTCTAGTTCCTGGGCATCATCGGGTGGCACGATTGTCGCAGCTCTCCAAAATGGAGGCCCGATGGCCGTCCTCTACGGCCTCATTCTCGTTAGCATTTTCTACACTGCCATCTCTGCGTCCTTAGCCGAATTAGCCTCATCCATGCCTTCCGCCGGAGGCGTATACTACTGGTCGTCAGTTCTCAGTCGAAACTGCGGCCGCAAAGCAGGATACTTCACTGGCTATCTCAACGCTTGCGCCTGGCTATTATCCGCGTCATCTATGAGCTCTATGCTTGGAAACGAGGGCGTGGCGATGTATCTGCTAAAAAACACCACCGTCAAATGGCACTCATGGCAAGTCTTCGTTGCATTTCAGCTTGTGAATTGGACGTCTTGCGCTATCGTTTGCTTCGGGAATCGATTCATTCCAATGATAAATCGCATTGCTTTGACCGTTTCAATGTGTGGTCTTGTCGTGACGGTCATCGTGCTAGCCGTGATGCCGAAAAGCCATGCAAGCAATGCGCAGGTTTGGACTGAATTCCACAACAAAACAGGAGGATGGTCAGATGGAGTATGCTTCATGACGGGATTGCTGAATGGGGCTTTTGCTGTCGGCGTACCGGATTGCATTAGCCATCTCTCTGAAGAAGGTACGCAATCGCAAAGAATCGTACTGGATTTACGTTCTGACAATTGTCTCTAGTGCCGAAGCCAGAAGTGAAAGTTCCCCAGGGAATTATGCTGCAAATGCTTACTGCATTTACGACAGCATTCGTTTACCTCATCGCCCTCTTCTACTCTATTCAAGACCTTGACGCCGTCTACACAAGCGATATCCAGTACTTCCCAACAGCAGAAATCTACAGACAGGCAACTGGCTCGAATAACGGCGCAATCGGACTAATCGCCGTTCTATTTATCGCGACGTTCCCCACTCTTATTGGCACCTTCATTACAGGTGGTCGAATGTGGTGGAGTCTAGCAAGAGATAACGCTACACCATTCGCAAGTTACTTCGCTCAAATCCATCCGACTCTAAACTGTCCCGTCCGGGCAACGGTTGCAATGAGCGGGCTCGTTACATGCCTAGGATGCATTTATGTGGGCAGTACTACTGCTTTCCAAGCTCTGATTTCATCTTTCATCGTCCTCAGCTCGCTATCCTACTTCGGTGCGATTTTCCCACACGTCCTATCAAGTCGCCGGAATATGGTGCCCGGGCCATTCTACATGGGCCAGAAACTTGGCACGGTGGTGAATATCGTTGCCTTGATGTATATCATGGTGACTGTGGTTTTCTTCTGTTTCCCGCTCGTCATGCCTGCTACGGTGAAGAACATGAATTACACCAGTGTTATTACGGTGGGATTGATGGCGCTGGTGGGTCTGTGGTGGATCTTTAGGGGTCGTCGGGTATACAGGGGACCACAGTATAGCTTCGAGACTGCGGAGAGATTGAGTGCTTTGCAAGCGGGCAAGGAAGGCAGGCGATCATTCATTGATATTATGGGAGGATCACCAGTGCAATGTGTTGATGAGGGTTGCCATGTGAGATGAGATTGAAGAGTTCGTAAGATACGATGATATGGATATGTGTATGACTGTGTGTTCTTTTGAGATGTGATTTCTTCATGTTTATTTAATTTATCTTATGTTTAATACTATTCTGTACATTAATGATCTCAAAGTGAAGCTGATGAGATCAGTGTCAATTTCTACCGTCGAAACCAATCCATCTTTCTTGTGATATCAACGCTCTGGATCCTGAATGGGCATCAGTCGATGTTCTGGGCACCTTGTTTCTGGGGGGTTGCCTCTGGAGCAAGGCCGATTGATCGTCCATCGTATCGGAAACTGGAATCTTATTGCTTTCGATCTAGTGGAGGCCTTGTGGCAGCTGCGTCTACAGTGGCATCATTCAGAAACTTAGTGCAAAACTGCTGGGTATGATATTGAGCGAACTCTATCAATTCTTCCTCATTTTAAAAGTGATAAAAAGTTAAAAATAAAGCATCTTGAATCATCAGACATCATGTAAAACCAGATTCATCCTCACAGACGGGACTTAATAATTTGACCGCCCTCCCAAGCCTCTCCGGCCTCAAGAGTCTGCCAGCCAGAGACCGCGCCAGCTTCTACGCAAAGCATATTCTGGTAGGCCTCATCCGGGCCGAAGTCCGCCATACCCTTGGCCTTCTCGATCCAGGGATTCCAGACAACAACGTCAGTGAGGGCCTTGCGGGTGAGTGAGAAGATTGGCTTGTCGTCGTCGGCAGATGAGATGATAACGGGTACTGCGGGGTCCAGCTCTTTGTAGACACGGTCGGTTTCTTCCGTAATTGCCAGCGCGGCGGATGTCTCGGTGTGCGAGGTTGCGTTGCGAGTCTTGTCGACGTAGGTCTTGGAGTCGAGGCCCTTGACGCGGACGTTCGAGATGTTCTGTTCATGTCCGGTCAGATCATATGGTACTATTAAGCAAGGGACGTGTGTAGCATAGCAATTGGTTTGAACATACATCGATGTTGAAGTAGGTGTGCATGAGGACCTGGAACTCGAAGTTCTGGGTTCCCTCGTTGCGAACCTGCAGCGATGTCTCTAGCGTATCCTTGGTGAGGGTAACACTGTATACAAGACCAAACTCGAGGGGCCAGGCCTTGCGGAACTCTTCAGTCAACATGGTATGCGACAATCCGAAATCCAGCTTCACGGCTAGATCGGCCTTCTCCTGACCAGCGGTTTCGGCTGATTCGGAGGAAGACTTTCCGAGAAACTCCCAGTTGGAGTTACGAGCAAATCCGTGTTGCGGGAGGGGGGGAGGTGACGTGGTTCTGGGGAGGAGGGCCGAAGACCTGGAGATCGAATCACAATGTTTGTGTCAGCATGTAGCTTCCAAGGGAACGAAGACGCGTAGACGCACCGGGAAAACGAGCGGAATACCTCCGCGAATAGGCTTAGAGCCGTCCAGATGGGCCTTTTGGCTCACGAAGAGCTGTTCCTGACCATTGGCCTTCCATGAGGTGACTGTAGCGCCGTAGAGATGGATGGTGACGGACTCGCCGGAGGGCAGGCTGGCCGAGATAGTGTTATCCTTAATAGCGATGCTAGGCTGCGGGAGAGACGCGCCCACACCGATGGCAGCGGGCTTCTTAGAACGATCCATGGTGAGTGAGTGAGTTGATGGTCGGTTGTAGAAGGGAAGATGGCCGGGGCTGGGCTGAAGTGAAGTCAACTGGGATCGTCCGCGGATGGCGGGGAATCGCAGCTGCCCCACCACACTCCCTTCTCTCCTTCTCTTCTCTTATACTCGTACTACTAGTACTCTCTACTCTCTACTCTCTACACACCACAACACAGGAGACCCCTCTGAAACAAACTTGGATCATTCAATTCTCATCTATTCTAACCGTGTTGCAGCATCGAAGAGGTCTGACCCTCCAGACTCACCTCCTCAATCTGCTTAATCTCCTCTTCTGTCAACCGCCAGCCCAGTGCCTGCATATCTTGATCCGCCTGTTCTGGATTACGAATACCCACGAGAGGCACGACTCCCTTATTAATGGAGTAGTTCAACGCCACAGCTGGAACAGGCACATGGCGTTTTTCCGCAATAGCCTTGAGCACAGTGATAGTTGGCTCCAGCATGTGCATCGGATAGCTACTGAATCGCAGCGTTCGCCGGGGCTGGTTGAAACGCGAATATTTCCCCGACAATCGACCCTCAGCTAATGACGCGAAGCCCTGGAAACAAATACTCCGTCTTTTGCATTCACGGATCATCCCGCTTGTCTCGGGAAGACGACGGATGACGGAGTACTCGCATTGCGAGACGCCGAGCGGAACCCCATGTTTGTCTAACTCGTCTGACATCTTGATCATTTCTTGCGTGCTGTAGTTGGCCACTCCAACGGCACGAGTGAGGCCGGACTCCATACAGTCGGCTAACCCCTTGGCAATTGTCGAAATGTTGCCCGGGTGGATGGGCCCGTGAACGAGATAAATATCCACGTACTCCAGGCGCAGACGATCAAGTGAGCCCTGGAGCATCTTCTTCGGACTTCTGGATTGCATAATTGTATTTTTGATGGTCGATGTGGAATGCCATTTGGTCTGTACGACGAATGAGTCCCGGGGCATACCCTCAAAAAGCGACCCGCAGATTCTCTCGCTCTCGCCGTCGCCATAAGCTTGTGCGGTGTCCACGAAGGTTAGTCCGACTGCCTTGAGTTTCTGCCAGGCTGCGTAGATCTTTAGTAGATCCCGAGTTAGGTTATATCCGAACGTAGCTTTGTCGCCCCAGGACCAGGCCCCGATGCTTAGGTAGGGGATTAGAACATTCTGTCCACCCCGACCATGCAAAGCCATCCGGGTCTGTGAATTAGGCACGAGGTCGGATGGAAGTACGTGGGCTGGGTCGCTGAGATTGGGATCCACTGGTCGAAGGTGCGGCGAGTGCATACCCTCTGTTGCGGACATGCCTGTTGCAAGACCGGTTTGCATCATATACTGCGTTCCTGGGGTGGCCATGTTTGAAGACCTTGGTATATCTAAACCTCTGGATTTGACGTGGGGAAGGGGATTGATCCTTCAATAATTTAGACCTGTAAATGTATAAATCGAAGCTCAATGTAAAACTAGTTCTTATACAAATGTTGGGGTTGGAGTGGCGATGTGCGCCACAAGACATCATTGTGATATCCAGAGCCACCACCTACCCACAATCGAACAAGTTTAGTAGTACTAGAACTTTATGCTCTAAATTAAATGGAGACCCCTTACTGTTCAAGAGTCTCCTTCCAGTTGATTTGTCGCCGCGATAAATCAAGGTGGCAATTAGATGGCGAAATGGAAGGTATGAATTGGAGCGAGACCTAACTTGGAGCCTCGATGGACTCATCAAACCGGTCGTCGAGGTTGATTCACAATGCGACGAATGCTATATGAACCGCTATGAAGCGGAATTCTGTACATTTTTGTGGATACGTTGCATGTTAGATTATGGGGGTAAATCATAGAAGAACGTATGCCGTGGCCACCAAGTCTCCGCATGAGATGAAAAGAACTTGAAATTATTATAACCCCCATGCCTAGGACCCCAGAGAGACTGTGAACTCGTGTTTAATCACTGTCTGCATCATCTGGGAGTTCCTCAAATCTTCCTTCCTCGACAGCCGTTCTGACCGGGTTCTCAACGCCCAGAAGGCCATTCGCCCTCGCCCTATCGCGATGTTAGAATAAAGATTGCGCATAATGAATTCAAGTTGCCATACCTTTCAAAGAGCACAAAAAGCCTTTCTGCCTCTCGCTCTTTCTCCTCCATAGTCATAGGAGGACCCGTATCGGCGGGCTCTGCGTTCCAGCGCTGTCCGGTGATTGGGTTGACGTCCGAGTCTTGCCCGTCCGTGTTTGTCGCATACGCCTCGCCAGCAGTTTGGGGAATCTCCATGCCGCGAGCTGCCAGGAAGCCAGCGGCAAAACCATAACCGATTCGGCGAGTTAGGTTCTCTGCATCCTTTCCAGAAAGGACGAACATTAGCTCGGATATACCAGTCTTCAAGTTGGGGTAGGGGCTGGTTGATAAATGGAGAAGTCGTGAAGAGAGAGTGTCGGATTTTCCGATTGGTTGGGTGCGGTCATTGTCTTCTGGTAGGAGCAGCCATTGCATATACTTGCGAGGCCCATCCGGTGCTACCTCATGAACGACAATAAGAGAGTGCAGCAGTGGGACGGCTTTTTCCTCTAGCTCCTCAGGACTGTATAGTGAGACAGCTTGATCCAAAATGTTGATTAGTTTATCCACGTTGCAGTTCTTGTCGAATGTCGGGAACAGAGGACTGCTATCGAACGTTTTGCCCTTCTTTTCTTCGAGGTCGAGGACAGACAGACAGTTGATGAGGTAGCTTAGGAGACCTTCCAGGGGCTTTGCTGGAATCTCTATGCGACTGATGATCTTCAGGATGTGGGGGATAGAAGGTGAGAAGGAAGCAGCGAGGTCGGGGTAGATCTTAGAGACATTAAAGATCACTTTGAGAGTATCGATGAGACCCAATTCATCCATCTGCGAGAGAGACGCACGTCCAGACTTGGGAAATTGTTTCGCGTGCCGGGCGAGTTGCTGAATTTGTTAGTACAGAACTCAGAGCTGTGGGACTTTGAAAACGAACGCACATAGTTGACGTTATCTCCCAAGGAGTGCTTGTTGATCAAGATCTCAAAATCCAATGTGGTATCATAGGTCATCAAGAAAAGAATGCGGCTCGTTATCATCTCGTCGTCGGAGCTGTCAGTCTTGAGACGTTCGGCTAGCTTTCCTGCGTACCCAGTGTCCACCAAAACCTGGCGCATTTTTGGTTCCAGCAAAAGGGCATTGGCAACGCCACGCAGGGCCGCTCGGCGAACATCGACCGTCTCGCCGTCAACTCCGTAGCGCATGAGCGTGTTGATTCCCTGCATCATCCGTCAGATCCCCTTTTTTATGATGTGGGTTGCAAGAGCACTATCGTACATTGCTGCAATATATCGGGCCGGCGTCGGCTGGGTTCGTACCATGTTGGCGCACTTCGAGCAAGATCTGGACACGTTCTAGAGAAAAGTGGCATCCATTAGCATGAGGTCACATGGGGAGGGGGTTTTTTGGAGCTTGGATCTGAGACTCACGCGCCGATGTGAGATGCTTGTCTTTCAGGTCTTTCTGGAGGGTATCGAGCAGCTGGGTCACTTTTTGGAGTTTCTCTATTGGAGATCATTAGCTCAGCCCAGGGTATACGATTAAATCGCATCCAAGATGGCGATCTGTTCCAGCTCACCTGCCCCATGCAGCTGGCCGAATGCCATCATATTGTCGAGACGCCTGGTTGGACTACCTAGGGTGGCCGGGTATCTTCAGGGCGAGAATCTGGAGGTCACTACACCCGATGCTGGAAATGTATATAAGTCGGTGCTTCTAGTCAGGGCATGGAGAGGCGCAAAGCACAAAGTCAAACAGAAGGAGAAGGAGAAGAAACGCGCGCGGGGGAACATCCGAGGAAAGACCCCACCCGAGCTACTCCAGGGCCACAGAGTTAAAGAGGTACGGAGTATAATATACTGCCCAGCTACATCTTTACTGATGTATTGACTGGGTGGGAATAATATGGAAGAAATAGTTGGGGTCTTTTCTCTGGTTACTATTATTCTACATTAAAATTTACCGCATCAGCTGTACTGCTGACTATGCACAGTCCAACGTAATTCCCACCAAAGCCATATATTTCTTTTTCGCAGTAAATTAAATATCCATTGATTACATCTATAAATACTAAGAATATCCACGACTTTACTCCTACTTTCCATGATATCCTGCAAGGAATACTGCAGGAATACTGCAAGTGCTAGCGCTTGTGCAGACGCGGATGCCTTAGCGCCTTAACGCCTCACGCGGGCACTTTACGCGATCCCGCGACGGCGCGTCCAACTTTACTTTTCGCCGGTTTTCATCTTAGCTCCAGTTCCAGCCCCATCGACCATCGCCATCGCCAGCTCCAGTTCTCCAGTCCTCAATGGAAGCTCCTCCTTGATCTTCCCTTCAATCCCTCCCCCAGAAATGGTTTTGATGCCCTCCAGTCTCTCTTTTACCCTCTTCTAAAACCATGGTGGAGACCCTCGGCCCTCTCCCTGCTCGTCCACCAACACCTCCGAGGCCAGGTCCACGAATTGAACAGAATCAACCCGTTGAAGACGCCCCAATCACCGCTCAAACCCCGGGAGATACGCCTCAACCGGCGCACTCTTCCAGGGTTCCTCCATCCAGCCGCGCCTCCAAACGTGTTACCTTCTCACCATGGCTGCAAACCGAAATACACTCGCCCTGGACTGCTAAATCGGCCGATTTCAAAGATAGTCCCATCCAGGGTAGCCCGTTGCCATCCGAAATCAGGCCCTTCAAATCCATCCTCAAAGAGACCGGCTCGCCCATCCCCGTTTGGTCGCCGAATGTCGACAAGTTCACCACCGAATCCCTCGACATGCTCCTCGAATCTGTCACCCAGCAGCTGGCTGGAGAATCCCTCACCTCTCGTCTTGACGCATATATGCAATTCTTTGGCGCTCTTAGGACATATGACGGACTACCGGCGGGAAGAGATGTTGCAGAGAAATTGGGGTTGATTACCGGGTTCATTCAAC